GCAAATTAGGTAATTAATATGTACTCATATTACCCTAAAAACTATCAGGTCTGTGCAGTGTCCTATGACATCTATGTACCAAGTTTCATTGAAATGTGACAATTACTACTTGAAATATCAAAAGCTGAAAATTAATTAATTATGCTAATTAGGTAATTAATATCTACTGATATTACCCTAAAAACTTTCAGGTTTGTGCAGTGTCCTATGACATCTATGTACCAAGTTTTATTGAAATGTGATGATTAGTACTTGAGATATCAGTGGAAAAGCCAAAAATTGATTAATCATTATGCAAATTAGGTAATTAATATTGCACAGATTTTTACCCAAAACTAATCAAATCTGCACATTAGTTTGGAGCATATGTGTGCCAAGTTTCATCAAAATCCAATGAGTGGTTCTTTAGATATCAGTGGAACAGTCATGAAACAGCCCAAAATCAGCTAATTATCATGCAAATTAGGTAATTAATATGCATGGATTTTTACCAAAACCTAATCAAATCTGCGCATTGGTCCAGAGCATCTATGCACCAAGTTTCATCAAAAACTGATGTATGGTTCTTGAGATATCAGTGGAACAGACGGACACACATACACACACACATACACACATACAGACAAACTAACTGCAAAGACTCCCTTTTTATGCTTCGCACACGGGAGTCAAAAATTGCGCAAAAGTGGGGGATGGGCGCTTGCCCGGGCATGGGGGCTAACGCGGTCGAGTACGGTATATACATGTAGCGGGTGCTGCATGTAGAGCATTATGTACATCCTAATTACTAGTACTAACACCCCCACCATGAAAATGTGACTTACATTTGTTTTCCACTAAAAATTAATCGCTGCTGCGGTGGAGGGATTCCTTCTTTCTCTTCTACTCTTTCTTTTATTCTTTCAACCTGTAAAACATAGGATTGATAAATTTAATTAATAAGTACTTCCAATTACTTCACTATTTTGATATTTTGAGCATACTCATATGAAACAACCATTTTTATTTTACCGGTACATGTTCACACAGATTTAATTTAGCAAATTTGACTGATCAGCAAAATTTAAACCCAGTGACTAATTAATACATATGCAGTGTCCATAGAATACATGAAATTATGCCGTAATAGAGAATATTGTCATCAAATATTCGTCTTTTCTTTAACTCTACCGCTTGGTTATTTTTAAGTAAAGTGTGTAAATACGGCAATATCTGGTACATGCAAGTGAAACTGAACTCACAATCGCCAGTACCCAATGAACTCACAAAGGGAAATATGAGGCTCCCTGCAGGGGTCTGCCCAGCCTGATTTGAGTGACAGTCTCTAATTAATATTCATGAGTTCATTAATATTCATGAGCTAAATAATAGTCATTTTTCCCATTCTACAAGCTACGGTTTAACTACTTTAATTATTTTAACTTTTATTTTAAATATTTCAATGTAAAATTAATCTGCGTTGATAAAAGTGAAAAACTATATACACTTTATTTTTCCCATTAACATTAACCTCTGACCTGGCAGCCATTTATTTTGTCAAAGCATGTCGTCAGTTTGTTTTCTTTTCCAATGGAATGCTGGTAAATCACATTAATAGTGAGAAATAAGTATTCCTTGTATTGCTGACTGAATATAGCTTATGAATTTAATTTTATGAACGAGTCATGAAGCCAAAAACACCAATGAAGTTTACTACACTCGATTGCAAGTGCAGATTAAATAAACAACAGCTTGCCGCATCGCTGCCGATTAAGTGAGCAAGTTATTGTTCAACTCGACAATTCCTACACACAACTAAACTTGCGATGGTAATCCTTCCTTCTGTTTATTTATCGTTGTCTTCCCTTCCATTATCTTGATGTAAGACTTATTTTGATCTGGTTCGTTTGTTAAGCTAACAGAATGTCAATCAGAGAAGGTTAAAACAAAAACACATTAGGCCGATGTCACACGTACGATGATTTTGAACAGCAGTGTCTTCTTTCATTAAAGTTTTGTTGTGTGTTAATTTTTTGCATTGTGTTGTGTGTTAAATCCAACAATGACAATAGAATGATGGTCCAGTGGCCGACATCCTGTGAGTATCATAAAGAAATAGAATTGTGTCGGGCGCCAACTTTTTGTCCTAGACGGAAATTCTGATTGCCGGTCACTAGCGACCAGCGCCGACCAGCGTGGGCAGATATTGCCACATTTACATACTTGCAGCACTACACGCCTTAACGTTTAGTATATAAATCATAACACCAAAAAATATTATGAACCATCATCCAAAAGTTATATATATGAAAATGTGAATACCTTATCTGTTGGTTCTATGTCAATTTCTATCTGTAAAATAGAACAAAGAAAGATTTGAAAATGAAACAGATTTTTTTTTAGTCTGGCCTAAGGCTAGGACCAACGCAATGTTGATGCTGTCTTTTCTGACCTGTTCTACATCTCTGCTTGCCAATCGCCCTCAAACGTGATTCATGGAGATGCTATTGTGAAAACTGACAATTACATGTCATGTTGCATTTCATCACATAGACTTTCCAAATCCCATAGCCTCTGTGCATTTTTCTATGTCAATCACAAGAATTTCCCTTCATTTGTGGTAAACCGTTTGCTACAGCCAAATTGATTGGCTGAAACAGTGGACATCTACTCCAGTTAACTTAAATTTATTACGCAACTTAACAATCTGTGGGTTTAGTAAGTTAAAAATAAATACAAAGACAAATAAAATAAAATAGGACAAACTAAAACACTAAAATTAAAAAAAACATTAAAAGCCAATAAAAAAACCTGAATGTGGAAACATGATTGTATATTTTCTCGTCATTAAGCCAATAACAATCCCACAAGGCGTGGTCTATTATCTTACTGCATTTAGTATAATTTATATTTACAATAAATGTTCAATTTAAGTTCTGTGTGTGTATGTGTAGACAACTTGTGATGAAAATATTTTGCATAAAATGTCAGGCATGCAAGCAACCAATGTAATCATAAATAGGAGTCTTATTCAGTATGTTTGTTTTTGTGAGAGTGAATCCTGAAAAATATGCAAATTAGTCCGCCATGCTTGCCTCTGATTCTGGGGAGAACACTGTAGGACCACTCATTGTGAATGAACACGCGATATTTGAACATGCATTTGAATTATATTTGGGTGTTCTAGCATAGAAAATATGAACACACCCAAGAAAACATGTGTTGTCTTTTGAATGAGTCTTTGAAAATGGTAACATTGTTACCATACTTCCCAGATCATAAGCCCAGGGGCCTCAACATGTAAAAGTCAGGAGTAGCTTTATACTTGAGAACCACCTCAGAAAAGAAGATTTACCGGTATTTGGGTTTAACATTGTAGCCATCTTGCCACCATGAAAAATCACTCAAATTTTTCCCCCTAAAAACTAGTGATTCTCTAAAGGTAAACAAAGTGTGGAGAAAGTATTTAAACATCTATCACAGTCGCCAACAGGTCAAGTCAAAGAATAGATTACTCATTCACACCCCATTCATGATAGTCTCAATAGACATGATTATTCGGAAAGGTAAAACGATGTCCAATGACCAGGTTTCATGACTTCATGGTCAAGCTATTGGTGTTTCGAAAGCTACCACTCAATGAGATATGGATTACTTCAGTATTGCAACATTGGTGTTCATCCTGAGTAAATATAGGATGCGAACCATGTAGCGTACGTTCCCCATGCACTAATAGGTGATTTTCCGCACAATTGCGAGATCTCGCGAGATGCATGAAAGACGCGCGTCTAACGTCTGCTGTAAAAATCAAACGATTTGATTTCCAACTCGAATTTCTTTATTTCGTAGCTCACATCGACCGGCCGATCTTCGACAGAGGAATATTGCTTCCGAATACCCTCACTTAATCGAAATTGCCTATCATAAAATGTGGACAGCACATTATTAAGCATGGAAATGTCCCCCAAAATACTTTCACGTTTGTCGAATCCCACGCGATGTTTGACGCCACTACGACGCTATGACCTTTGTTTGTCCTGTTTTTACGTTCGATTTCACGCATAACGCGTGATTCTCGCAGTGAACGGAAAATGGTCTATTAATGCGAGCTTTCTCATACATGTAAACGCACAAACCAAACTACTGTACCAATCATGATTTTTATGCAATGAAACACACTTTTTACACACATATTTTAATAAATGTTGTCGACGCCCAGTAAAAACACCCTGGGCCTATAATCAGATATGCCCTCAACTATTATTTGTGATATATTGATTACTTTGAGTCCCTATCTCAGCAAGGTATTCAGTTCATGAGCAATCATAATCAAACGTTTTCTTCAAAATGCAGTATAAAAAAAGCTGTTTTCAAAATATTATAAGCTCTCATCAATTTTTCATCTTTAAAATGTTTACAATCTGTTTTTGATTTTTATCTCATGAGACAACTTCCGGTGTGATCCAAGTTTAGACAGTATCAGGACGATCCGGCCCTGGTTTGTTGCGGCCCTGGTAAAAAAAAAGACGATCCGGCCCTGGTATAAATTATATTCGATACGTGTTCATATCTAATGTTAATACATGTATATTAAATGCATAACGAATGCTTGACTATCTTGTTTAACAACTATTTTTCGTCTTTTGCAGGGCATTTTCACGATTTCACACCATATTTTACACAATGCAACAGATGTTTTTTTCATTTACTCGCCGCCTTTGTACTAAGCACCATATGGCCCAAGTGATTGTCACTGTGCATGTGGACATGTGTGGCCCGCAGACAGATAACTTGAATACATATCTAATACAATCCGTTTTAGTCAGGGTTCGAATACACATTTGTGGTTTGTCACGTAATGAATTAAGAACGTTAATCAACAAAGGAAAAGAATGTAGAAGGCAGACAAAATGGTTTTATTGGTCTTTCAGTAAATAAACAAATAAACTGTTTCTTTGTACGTTGTGCTTCTGGTTGTTGAGCAATACATTTTAGTTCCGCACATGGTCCGCGTTTGTGTGGTTCGTTTGCATGTGTTTCCATGGGGAATTGCGTGAATAAATTAACAGCAGAAGTCGGAATGTAACAATGTAGCAAGATGCCTCACTTTGTCGCCATGTTAAATGTTCGACTTTTTGTACTAAAAGTAATCGTGATTATACGCTAAATTACAAACAATGACCTGTCGGTTGGCGGTAATAATAAATAAATCGTCCCATGTTACAGTACGTCGCATTATATCAGTCCCACTGATAATAAATAAATCGTCCCATGTTACGGTACGTCGCATTATATCAGTCCCACTGATAATAAATAAAACGTCCCATGTTACGGTACGTCGCATTATATCAGTCCCACTGATAATAAATAAAACGTCCCATGTCATGGTCGTATTATATCACTCTCACTGATTATAAAAAAAACTCAAACTAGGCAACAATGAGTCAGGTGGTGCCTGATGATACCACACTACACTGCATGTACTGGTAATGTGGGACCTAGTGCCGGAGTGATTTTCTATATGATGTATAGCAAATGTTTCAAACGAAATATATTGAAATCAGCAGATTTAATGCTATATTACGTTTGCAGAAAACTAATCATGTTGATTAGAAAATTGATTCCCTACACTTTAAATATTCGTGGGTACTTTGACACATTGTCTCTGGAGCTTGTTTGCTACATTCCTCATTTCCATTACAATGATTGTGTGTACTTTGACGTTGTACCGCCCGACTGGAAGGTGTGTACGACCCTTGCATTGTGCTAAAACGTAAGTGTTAAAATTGGCTGCAATCTTTCCATGAACTCTGATAAGTCCTACAAAAGATGGAAAAAAAAATTGTGGATAAGATAGTCACACATTTAATATATTGACGTTCATTACGCGACAAACCACGAATGTTCATTCGAACCCTGACTAAAACTGATTGTATTAGATGTGTAATCTAATGTCTGCCGCTGCCGTTCACGTGCTGGTGGCGAATAAATGAACATACATCAAACACTGTGTGAAATCGTGAAAATGCCCTGCAAAAGACGAAAAATAGTTGTTAAACAAGATAGTCAAGCATTCGTTGTGCATTTAAGGATGCTGTGTAGGTTTTTTTGCTTTGAAACCCAAAATTCTACTTTTTTGTATTTTTCAATGCTTGACTACAAAGAG